TCAAAATGGCGGTGGTGGCCACCTCCCATTTTGGCACAAAAACTTATTATTGGAGCATATGGACATGAATTGTCCAGTATATGTGTCGATGGTCCCAACCCACTTGAACATCGGTAATATATTAATGTTGGCGACGGTAAGGTAAACTATCAAAAAATGGTAGCCTGAGCTACTGCTAACGCTTGCCAAAGCTGCAGTTAATGCTAGCCTGAGCTCTGCTAACACTAAACTGGGTTAAAGCTAATCTGAGCTACTTCTAACACTAGACCGGGCTGCTGCTAATGCTAGCAAGAGCTACTACTAACTCTAGACTGAGCTACCACTAATGCTAACCTGTGCTACTGCTGACACTAGACCGGGTTGCTGCTAATGCTAGCTTGAGCTATTACTAACACTAGCCTGTGCTACTGCTAACAGTAGACTGGGCTGCGGCTAACACTTGCCCAAGGTACTGCTAATGCTATCCTGAGCTACTGCTAACGTTTGCCAAAGCTGCAGTTAATGCTAACCTGTGCTACTGCTGACACTAGACCGGGTTGCCGCTAATGCTAGCTTGAGCTATTACTAACACTAGCCTGTGCTACTGCTAACAGTAGACTGGGCTGTGGCTAACACTTGCCCAAGGTACTGCTAATGCTATCCTGAGCTACTGCTAATGCTAGCCTGAGCTACCACTAATACTAGACTGAACTACTGCTAACACTAGACTAGCCTGCTGCTAATACTAGCCTGAGTTACTGCTAATGTCCTTTGTCTTACAAAGGGAAAACAATTGCAGCTCTGCCATTGAGGAGAATTTTAAAAAGCTCTGCGCTAATGGTCTTACACCCATCCAACATCTCTTTACAGACAGAGCGCTGTGACTGGCCCTGCCTACACCTAGCCAAGCCAATGGTTGACCTGCTGAGGCTACAATGAAGCTAGACCAACCTGCAGAGCAAAATCTTTTTCTATGGTTTTTCTAGGCAAAGATCCTGGGCCATTTTTTCTGCCACACTTCATATGCTATAGAGGCTTCAAAAAGTTTCCAACTGTAAAAAGTTCTTCTTGGACCCATTTAAGAGAAGTAATGTAGAACTTTATATCAGCATTTCTCAACTAGCTTGCCCTATTAAGGTTTGTGCCCAAACAATTCTTCAATTGCTTCAATTGCAATCAGCTATGAAACACTCAAGCCCCCACAGCTGTGGCATACAGGGATCTACTGGTGTCAGATATTGATAGGCTGCACATGCAATCAATCAGTATTGTAAGTCGTGAGCCTTCATAAATGTAACAAGATAATGCAATGCTGAGTCAGTCTTCACGGTTGAGCACAGTCATATTTATTACCAAGAAAAATACATTAAAGGCATATTAAAGTCTTTAGTCACAGTCATTAATTGAACGGCTTGAATACATTTGGACAACAAAACACACACTTTGATTTTGCAGGTTGCCTCAGCAAGAACAGTCCCAGTTGGAGTTTTGTGGCAATATGGTGGCTGAGAAGATTGAACGCATGCACCCTTGATGCATGGCTGCATGCTAAATTCACAATACACAAAAAAAAAAACTACTGATTTAATACAAAAAAGCATAATAAGTGAATAAGGGTGAGAAACAACAAAGAAATAATGTGTGTTGGCACAGAGAAGCTTAAGAGCTACAGCAGCACTGGAGAATGTTGTGTATGAATACATCGCCGTGAGCACTTTCGTTGCAGCACTGTCAGAGCACGTTCGACAGAAATGCTATTTACAGTTTGAGAGAATGGGAAATGGGAAGTGTTCACATGATGACAGTCTCTGTCTGGAAAGGATAGGAAACAAGAGGTTGGTGCTTGAGAGCGGGGCTGGAGCTGCGTGTCAGAGGGCGGTAGATGGGGCCTGACGGGGAGGTGATTCTAGCCGTAGGGGTGCAGCCGGCCCATCTGGAAGGCGGCCGTTGGTTGGCAGGGCGTGCAGGTCGAGAAAAACTCTTCCTCGGTCTGGTTGGAGACAACTCTGCAGGGTTTACCTGGTAAAAAATAAAAATAAACATAAAACGTCGGTGAGAATCAGAACAGCTGAATGACTGGAGGTAAACACAGAGGAACACCATGCTTACATGCTGTAGCTCTTGTTTGTAAGCTGCGTGTTCCCTGCTAGGACTCGAGCTGTACTCGTGTTGAATCTCCAGCATGTCCAGCAATTCAATAAGTCCTTCGTCCCTCACGTGCACACAACCCGGCAGCTCCTGTCCCCTCTGAATCCTCGGAGACCCAGAGGTAAAGTTTGGGGGCCTGTAGTCCCCTTTGGGCTCCACCTGTTGGACTGTAGGCTTCCTAGTTTTCTCTGCTTGACCCGATCCTCCGTCTCTGTCCACCCCACTGTTAGCCCTGGGTCGGATATTTGGGCTCCCTGACACCTGAGGCCTCCTCTGGACCTGCTGAGGAGCCTGGAACCCTTTAGAGCCGCTGTAGCCTCCCCTCTGATCCTTGTGTCTACAGTCCAATCCCAAAGCCCATTCTTGGCTGGGATCTTTCTCTGCTGTCAGCACACCACAATCTCCTTGGCATTTCTGGATGGCCATGCGCACAGGTGCCTTGCTGGCTCCTCCAGTGGCTCCCAGGGCCCGGCGCTGACAGCCAGGAGTGGAACACTTTGCCTCCAGTCCCTGATGGGTCACCACCCCTGATTCTGTAAGCGTTTTACCCTCATTCTCCTGAAGCATGGCTCCAAACTTCTTGAGGACAGAGGGGCTGGTGCACTTCCGGTCTCCAAGGACTCCTTGACTGAAGGACTTTCTGTCCACAGGAGACTCAGTGGCTGTGGTGGGGAACTGCAAGCGTGCCTGTTCAGCACTAGCATCCCTTTGTCCAACAGGGGGCTTGGACTGGTTAGATGAGCTCTCTCTGCAGGGGGCACTCTTCATGTGAGACACTCGGTTCTTCCTGTTTTCAGTTTCTTCAAAAGTGCCCGAGTAATGCTCTTGGCCAAGCCTGGTTTAGGACAGAAAATTCATCAGAACAATACAGAACTGCAGGAGTGACTGCTATTCATTTAGATAATAAACTGTTGTCATGTTACGTCCCAAGTCTTTTCCGTTTTAACATCGGTGGGTGATCTATACCAGTAAGTCGAGTCCTTAGGGGTCGCAGTGTGTGTGCAAGAATTTGGTGATACGATATAACGCGAGGATTTTTTTCACTTTTAAAGACTGGATTTAATTGTAAAATTCAAGCCGAGACACGTCGCGCGATCTCACTGTTCCATCACAACAAAGGCCGCTGCTCCTCCGCATCGAGCGGAGCCAGCTGAGGCGGTTTGGGCATCTAGTCAGGATGCCGCCTGGACACCTTCTGGGGTGGCAGGACACAGTGGAGAATGTACATCTCCAATCTGGCCCGTGAACACCTTGGGGACCTGGCTGGGAAGAGGGCTGTCTCGAATGCCCTGTTTAAGATGCTACCACTGCGAGCCGGATAAGCGTAGGAAAATAAACAAATTCTTAATATAACTTCTGTTTTCAAAATCAGTTTTTTTTTTCCAAATTAAACATCTATTTAAACTTTAAAGCTTGTTTTAAACAGCAATCTGGCCAAGAATAAGCATTTCTCACCTATTATTACCAGATCTTCTGCTCTCATCCTGGCAGGCAGACATGTCCTGGTTCACCTTAACTGTGTCACTGAAGTGCTGAAAAAAAAAAAGAGTCTCACTGATGAACCCTTAATAGAAACCATATTCTGACATAGCAGCACAGGTGAAAGTGTTCAGACGAGCTCAAAGCCACTGTCTCCCGTGTGGACTGAGAATGCGTTGGTTTTCGTCTCAGACGCTCAGGCAGGTGTCAAGAAACGGCAAGAGTGGAGCTAGAGAGTGAAACTAACTCCTATCTGGTGACTTCTCTGTGTAAGCAGACTTCAGGGAACTGTAATCAATATGTTCCTGCCAGAACCGCAGCTTTTACTCATGTCCTGTCGGCCTATCTAGTTTCTTCATTCGTGCAAATACCAACAGAGTGAGGCACAAGGAGGGAAAATGCCTCTACCCACCACGTGACGAGTTCCGTTGTTCTTCCTGCTCGTTTTCTTCCCGTTCTCAAAATAGTCCTGCAGCAAGTCTCCGATCTCCGAAACCCCGCTGGAGCAGCAGTAGCTGTAGGCACCTTGGCGACTCACAGGGTAGCTGCACCCGTTGGGGCCACAGTGATGTACGATGATATCTCCAGGGCGATTCCCACCGTGGCGGCTAGGCCCAAAAAGGCCGTCACTGTGATGCCGTAGCCCACACTCCAATGGGCTGCCATTTTTCTGGTTGTCACCAGTGACATCGTTCACCCCTCTGCGAGCCTGAACTTCGCTGTACAGCTTGAAAACAAGAGAACATTTTCAAATATTTGCTCTTTTGATATCTAATAAGACAAGCAAACTTGGAATTACACCAAAATGACTGCATCTAAGTTTTAATCATCAGCACGCATTATTCCATTTTGCACCGGCATATGTTCCTAAACCTTCGATACCTCTTGTAGGATCCACTTTCAGGCCATGCGTGTGTGTGTGTGTGTGTGTGTGTGTGTGTGTGTCTCCAGCCTGCCAGTCAGCACATGACGGTTTAATTAGCTTGTTAACATTTGTCTGCACCACTGCTCCAACAAGGCCAAGCGCTTGAGTCAGTATCTGTGAGCTAACGGTTTATTTATGATGTTGCACACACCCACTTTACACCGATTAGCACTCACAAAGGAGCGCTGAAGCTCCCCCCTGGAGATGGAGCAATTGAGAAATAGTGACTTGTTTTCTGTTATTTTGCTAAAATAAGTTAATATGTGTAATAAAATGAAATGTCTGCAAATGTTTCACCATTTTTTATTAGCTACGCTTTAATTTTTCTGTCACCTCTTCTATTTTCCTCTGGATATCCTGCAGCTGATCCTCCCACTCCTGCATCTCAGAGTCAAAGTTGTCCATCAGTTCTGGCCTCTCTGGTCCCCATCCCCGGCCGCTGCGTTCCAGCCCAAGCTGCAGATCGATGGCTGCCATGACGCAGGCCGTTCACTGCCCAGAGGCCTTTTCAAATAAAAAGTTACGACTTTTTCCTGTTTTGCTCTCCGGTTAGAGGTTGGTGTCTGGGCAGCACGATGGTGGACAACAGGATTGGTTGCCTGGAAACAAGCAAAAGAAAGATGTGTTAATTGCACACACACACGACCTTTTACACCTGCCAGACTGAATCTGGTGTTGGTGACCCAAATATCTGACCCTGATTGTGCAACATAATGTCAATAAGCACCATTGCCTTCAATTAGATAGGAAATCTTGTTTGTTGTTATTTTAATCTCAATACATTTCAGTTTATCTTCATATTGCTCTACTTGGAAAAACAATACTAATTTAAACTAGCAATGGGAGGTTCAACAACTTGAAACGTTTAAAAATATAAGTAAACAGAAACGTCTGCAAGCATGAAGCCACTGAACATGGACGTAATTTTGGGGGGGACAGGGGGGACATGTCCCCCCCACTTTTTCCAAAGTTAAGTTTTGACCCCTGCACTTTTTACCATCCAAAAACAATATTACGCTATATTAAAGTGACACTGGCTGAGCTCTAGGACCAAGCAGAAAACAACCGTTTGTGTTTGAAGCCTGTTTCCCATTAGAACATACTGTAAAGATACCCCCCCCCACACACACACACACACACACACACCGTGCCCCCCCCCCCCCCCCCCACACTTCTTAAGTGAAAATTATGTCCATGCCACTGAAGCAGAGGTTCAGCCACTAAAACGAATAAACAACATCATATAAATGTTAAAATATTGCTAAACTATGTCAAACTTAATGAATACAAACGCAGCTATCACCCAGTTAGCGTACAGATTCAGGGCCCTGCTGTTATTTTCTGCTGCGTCACATCTGTGGTGCGTTCAAATGCCCTACTCAGATCCGCAAACACAGCTCTATCCCACTAATAGCCACCGATGTTCAGCTAAAGGCAGGTAATGAACTCATCGGGGAGCTTTGTTGATGTTTTTAATAAGAATTGCGTCAAAAGTGCCCGAACGTAAACCCCCCCCCCCCCCCCCCACGTGCGATGCGAGACTGGTGATATTTAAATTGTCGTGCATTTAACCAAGATGCTGCTCACGCAGGTAAAAGCACCAAAAAGCCTACATAAACAACTCATTTAACGAATACATGATTACAATTAAGTTTTGTACATTAGAATATTAATCATGATAAATGTTTATTTTTAAGTCCCATATAAGCAGGAAAATAACCGCTAATTTTCTTCCAACTCTTACCTGAACCTTCGCTCTCCAGTAAATATCCTACACCCTCCTCTGCTGCCTATCTCCCAACACTTTCACTTCCCAGGCTCGTCCCTTGGCTTTCTCCCCCCCGGTTGTGTTACATAAAGCACCGCGGGCTCGGTTTTAAAGGGCCGTGCCCCCCTTTTCCCTCCCTTTCCCTTCCTTGGAAGATAAGACCGGAGCTTTTAGCTAAAAGGGTAAACATCTTCTGTTCCAGCCGGGGTCCCCTGGCTTTATACCACACCTCCTCTCAAAGCGCGCGCCGTCCGAGCCCGGATCAAATATCATAATGTCAAATTTATTCCAGCGTTTAAAATCTCGATGGGACGACTGTCGTCACCGGCATCCTGGATATAGTTACCAGAGAGAGGGAAAGTGTTTACATAGCTGTTTCAGCTGCTGCGTCCTCTCGGCCAATCAGCGTCCCTGTTGCTACCCTGCTTTTAGGATGCCGGGGCAGATTTCGCCTTGTGACCATGCCCCCGCCGCAAATCATTTACCCAGAGGGTGCCAAACGGCTGTAGGAGGCATGGTGAGTAATAACGTGTCACGGTCAATAATATCTTTATTGAAGACAGCCACGAAGAGGAGACTGTCGGGTGGACGCCTGGCCTGGTTGGCATATTTTTTTAAAGACATACTTTAAATTATTTTCATTCTGAATGCAGTTTATGGCTCAGCTGCCACAGTTTTTATAAGCCTTTTTGTTGCATATGTTGAAGGATTAGAAATCCCATTTTAAACCGTGCAACATCCCGGGTCAACTTTAACCTGGACTCGGGAGTCGGGAATGACCTGCAGCCAGCTGCTCATCTATTTCACCATCGAACACGTTAATCAGCTCGAATCAGAAGCACTGGGGGGAATTTTAAGAGGCCCCGACAACAAGATCCAACATTTGGCACATGTTGATTCAAATTCTTTCCAGTCGGAAGCCCCTTGGATTGTCATTCCTCCACCTGTTGTGTTCCTTGCTAAATGGTAAATCCTTCATGAGTTTAAGGGGACGACACAAACAAACTTTGTCCTTAGTTTACCTTTCGGCCCTTAAGAGGATGCATCAAGTGTTGTTCTGGAAAACAAAGAGGAAGTCGAGGCTATAACAGGGTATCCGCGGGTCCTTAAAAAGTCTTAAATTTGCTTTTCCAAATTTGAGACCTTGAAAATCCTTAAAAATTACAAAAAATCCTTAAATACAGTTTTCAAAGGTCTTAAATTACCAAAGGTCCAATAAACAAGATTCTTTTATTTCTATAAGATTTTCGTGAATTTCTAGTTAGTGTTCAGCATTTTTTGTGTACGATATTGGCGTAAGCGGAACCGTACACATTCGGTTGGTTGTGAAAGGGGGCTATTTTTAGATGAGCACATTAGCTGGTTAAGCTAGTGGGAGCGTGCGCCATGGGGAAGTGCAAGTTTAATGGTAACTGGATGGCTAATCCCACGTTCGTGACGTGGTTAGCACCGGCTCCAGGCAATAGCTGGAAATTATAGCTTAAATTACATTTTAAAAATAGCTTAAATTTGGTCAAAGTGGCCTTAAAAAAGGTCTTAAAAAGTCTTAAATGTGGCTCCCTTACACCTGCAGATACCCTGTATAATATAAAATATTTAGAGTGACGAGGTTAAACCAGGACATAAAGGGGGATTAAAAGAACACTGTGGTTTTCTCTGACTGACTTTCCTTTGAGGCTTTACACTGGGGCGACGGTGGCACAGGGGTTAAGTGCTCGCCCCGTAACGGAAGGTTGCAGGTTCGAGCCCCGCTCAGTCTGTCGCTGTCGTTGTGTCCTTGGGCAAGACACTTAACCCACGTTGCCTGCTGGTGGTGGTCGGTGGGACTGGTGGCGCCAGTGCTCGGCAGCCTCGCCTCTGTCAGTGCGCCCCAGGGCAGCTGTGGCTACATCGTAGCTCATCCCCACCAGTGTGTGAATGACTGATTGTGTTGTAAAGCGCCTTGGGGGGTTTCAAGAACTCTAGAAGGCGCTATATCAAATACAGGCCATTTACCATTGTTGCTCGGCTCATTTCCCCCGTCTCATTTCTACATGATCCACAAGCTCTCTTTATTAAGTTGGCCAGAACATGTTCACACATTTTAGTTTAAAGAAATTAATTATTTATTTCTTTCTCTTTATATTGTAGGGCTTTATTATTATTTATTATGGGGTCATGTTTGGCCATTTGTCAGGGCTCCTGTGTCCTGAGGACGTTTATATTTCTGATCACCATTGCATTTTCTTTAACTCACCTCCTGCTCGCCGTATGGTTAGTTCTCGTTTTTCTTAATGAGAGCACAGCTAGCAATTTTTCTGCTGCTTTTGATCCACCCTGTTGTTCTGATAACGACCCATATTCCTTAACTTCTCAGTTTAATGAGCACTGCCTCTCCATTCTGGACAACATCTGTCCTGTCAGAACCAGATCAGTTCCTGCAGTGAACCCTACTCCCTGGTTTAATGACAGCCTTCGCAGCCTGAAGAGCCAATGCAGAAAAACTGAGCGTTTATTGAAGAAAACCCATCTCCACGTCCATCTGCTGCACCTGAAGGATCTTCTGACATCCTTTAACTCTGCAGTCAGAGACGCTAGGGTTTCCTATTTCTCCAACCTGGTGTCCCAGAGCAAAGGGAACCCCAAGGTGCTGTTTAACACCATCAGCAGCATCGTCTCTCCTGCCTCTCCTACAGCCTCCATCCACTCTGTTACAGACTGTGAGAACTTTCTGTCTTTCTTTGTGGACAAAGTCAGAAGGTTAGATCCAGCATCTCTCCATCAGCCTTATCGCTGCCTCTCCCGACTCCAACCAGGCCCATCATCCTAGATAGCTTTGCTCCTGTTTCTTTGCCTGAGTTAACCAAACTAGTTAACTCTATGAAGACCTCTGCATGCCCCCTCCACATCTTACCCTCATCTTTGTTTAAAAGTGCTTTTCAGTCCATCGGTCCCAGCGTGCTCTCTATAATTAATGCTTCTCTGGTTTCTGGTCAGGTCCCTGCTTACTTTAAGAACGCTGTAATCCACCCGCTTCTTAAAAAACCGAGTCTCGACCCCTCTCTCCATAGCAGCTTCAGACCCATCTCTAAACTTCCGTTCATCTCCAAGATCTTGGAAAAGGTTGTGGCTAAACAACTCACAGCTGCTCTTGATGAACATAACATCTATGATAGCTTCCAGTCAGGTTTTCGTAGAGCTCATTCTACTGAAACAGCTCTTCTTAGGGTCTCTAATGACCTTCTGACTCACAGTGATGCAGGGGACTGTTCTGTTCTGGTCCTGCTGGACCTGACTGCAGCCTTTGACACTGTTGTATCAGATGTATAAATATTACATGTGTATAACTTATTGTTTTTTACTGGTAAAAACGTGTAGTGGAGATAAATCTACCTACATTTGACTTTTCAACACTTTGTTTTGTTTTCTTGTTTTTATTTATCTATTTTCCTGTCCTGTCTGTCTCTCATCTTCCTGCATCTCCTCTAAACTCTCCAGAAAATCTGCTGCCTGGATTCTCACTTTTTCACCTCATCAGTTACTTCTGAGCAGATCAAAGGGATCTCCTGACCACAAAGCGGAGAGCGCGTTTCGATGCTGCGTCAGTGAGGTGAAATCACCGCAGCACAGGTGACGAGCTCCGCAGTAGCAGAGCGCTTCAGGCACAGATAAGACAGAAAGCAGAGAACATGTGCGGACACGAACGATCGTGTGTTAATTATAGTTTTTTGGTTGCGCCACTTTGAGAATGGACCGTGCGCTGGACGCAGCAGCCTGGAGCGCTGCGCAACAACGAGCATCGCTCTGTGCTCTCTGCTCAGAAGAGTCCATGAATAATATAGGTAGAAAACTTTTTTCCGGCTGCCCTGGATGTGTAGGATCCCCACAATTCGATCCCTGCTCCTGGATGAAAAACCGAACATTTTCATCAATACAAGAACCCCCCGGACGCCCTGGACAGAGAGCGAAAAGTGGACATGTCCGGGGAAAAGAGGACGTACGGTCACCCTAGTTTAATATAAAGCGGAGATTACAGATACAGTATTTTTGCTGCCTTGCTGCCCTGGGCCTGGGCCCTTTATAGTTCGTGGGCAACTGGGGAATTGCCCAGTTGCCCATATGGTTAATCCGGCCTTGACTCAACTGTGTTAAGTCAGCCCTATGAGGTGGGAAATGTCGCTAACAGGGAAGCTGTGATTATCACTCCTTGTCAAGTGCAACAAGCAAATGGACACTAGTCTGACCACAAGGCAACAGGCTTAGATGATATCTCAGCAGAACATCTGAAGTTTGCAAGCCCAAGGACTGCTGTATTCCTTGCAATGTGTTTCTCTGGGTTCACGACCCATTCTTTCTCCCAGCAATGCTGGTTTTCAGCAGCTGCTGAACATGTGCTCTGATTATGGGACGAAGTACAATGTGCAGTATAATGCAAAAAACGAGTGTTGAGCCGATTTGATGGACTAAAAGAGAGAGAGATCTTTGTTTCCCAGACTTTTATTTGGGTGGCAAGAACATAAGCGTCAGTGACAAAACTAAATTTTTGGGTCACATCATCACAGATCAGCTTAGTGATAACAATGACATTTAGCGACAATGTTGAGTCCGTACGCCCAAGCCAATATTTTGGTCAGATTTCATGTGTGCTAATCCACCTCTTCAGAAACGAGTGTACACCTCTGTATGCTGCGCCCATGTGGTGCAAGTATGAGAGAGCCAGCTTGCAGAAGCTTAAAGATCCGTCCAAGCGCTAATGAGGAATTTGATGTACGTGTCATGAGTCGGGGTGAGTACTCCCGTCGCACGTTCCATCTTTGAGTTGTTTTTCAGGAGAGGGAGGCGCCCAGCTGCTTCTGGTTAGCAATCAACGGCACTGGCTTCTTAAGGAGTTGGAGAACACGCCTCGACGCGGGATGATTACTACTACCCGGTAGAGTCCAGCCTCATAGTGCTTTGTTTTCTTGAGCCTCTAGAGCAGGGGGGTCAAACTCAGTTTTGCTCAGGGGCCACATTGAGGAAAATCTGGTCCCAAGTGGGCCAGGCCAGTAAAATTAAAGTATGTATAAGTTAAAAACGGCTTCAGATTGTTTTCTTTGTTTTAATACGATCAACATAAAACAAGGCTGGAGCCTGAGGACAGTGTCTATACAGTTTAAGCACAACATCACTATTAATAATAAAACACCTGAAGTGTATTTGAAAATGTGAAATACAAAACAAAAAACCCAGACTACAGTAATCCCTCGTTTATCGCGGTAGATGCGTTCCAGACCTGGCTGCGATAGGTGAAAATACACCAAGTAGGGACTCCCAGCATGCCCCTCGCAGGGATTCCTTCCACGTTGCACCTACGTCACAAACCGCGGCTATAAACGGAAGTCGCCTTTCCAGCTCACCACTCAGTCATCGTTTCTTCAGATTCATGATCAGAGTTTCCAACCTACCGATCAATCCAACGAACTGTCAGCTCATAGTAAGTTATCTTACTTACTTCTGGAAAGCCCGGCATTTCCGTGTCACTTCGTTGACGCTCGAACGCTCGGGGGTTTCCTAGATCAGCCGGCGTTTCACCGACGCTATCACTTCCGCGTCTGTGAAACCACGCTCCCTACAAGCTCAGCTCCCGAATCCAGCCGACCAGTCTGACATACAGTACTATATTGAATTATCGTATGATCACATTCTCTTTTTGTGGGTAAAACTCAAGAAAAAAATTTTTTTTACTTGGTTTTTTATAGTTTTATTACAAAAAGTGCATTTTATGATGAAATTGATGAAAATAAACAGGAATTTCTTGACATTTCGCATAGAAAAATACCGCGAATCGGCGACTTTCCCTTGAATAAGGCTCCAAAAAAAATCCGCGAAGTCGTGAATCCGCGATAAACGAACCGCGAAGTAGCGAGGGATCACTGTATTCCTCAGCAATTCATATAACTGATTCGCAGATCACATGGCTATACCAGTTTCATGCATGTCTTTGACTCCTGATACCTGACATCTTTTAGCTTTCACCAGCAGTTTAATTGAAAAACGAGAGCTTATTTTCAGTCTGAAAATAAGGTTTACGCAATCATCTCACGGGCCGGATTTAAACTGTGTGCGGGCCTGATCCGGCCCGCGGGCCGTACGTTTGACACCCCTGCTCTAGAGCTTTTTCTGGATTTATATGCTTTGTGCTTTTTTAAGCTCACGCCTGCTTCAGGAATTTTTGGAGAATCTCTGTTGAAGGAACCCTTTGGATTCTCTAAACTTGTCAGGATACTCACCGCCTCTACATGACCTTCTGGACGCGGCTCCCCAGTGTTCCCCATCTCTCCAGTCGCTCCACTCCTCTGCTTCCCACACGCTCCCTCTCCTGGATCGACTCACCTCGACTCACCCAACTCTCGACCCGCCCCTCCCTATTCCTGCTCATCTCCTTTGCCCAACGCCGAGTACGGACTTTACCCCATCCGCTGGATGCTCCAGTGCGCTTTTTGTTCCCGTTTATTAATAAATTCCTTATTTTGATCATTATTCCTGCGAGTGTGTTGATTCTGCACGTCCTGGGTTAAACTCCTTCCCCAGACCATGTCGGAACGGTTTTATCCTGCGTTTGAAAAACTCTGAGAACAGACTTTTCCAGATGCTGGTTGATCCCAGTCATCCGTGTGGAGACATCGGTATGCATGTCTTTTATACATTTTTGAATGCCGTAAATCCTCTAATACAGGCCCGGGCCTGTATTAGAGGATTTACGGTAGTTTTTAATTTTTGTATAGTTTTTGTGTTTTTTAATGTGGACTTTCAGTCTAATAATAAAGCTGATGATGATGATGATGATGATGATGAAGAAAGCCCAGTAAAACTCACCTTCTGACGTGGGCGGTGCTGATGCTGATGTGTTATGATAATGTTGACTCCAGTAGTTCAAGCCAAAATTGTTTGTGACATTGGCAGGTGCTGAGCTGTTTCCTCTGTGCTTTTGGTTACCTTGGCAACAAATGATGCGGGATTTGAACAAAACAATAAAAAAAAAAAAAAAAAGACAGCGCAAAAAAAACGAACGAGAGATGTTGTAAACTATGGGGGGGGGGGGGCTGACATCACAGAACAAAGAAGAGAGTAAAAAGAAAGACTAGTTTAAAGATGGTGGCGTAAGAGAGGGATGAGAATAAGACGAGTATGAGGATGAGCAAAATGATGGGCTGGAACATCTGGGGGGGGGGGGGGGGGGTATGAGCGGCAAAATGAGAAACAGGTGAGAAACAGGTGAGAGGAAGAAGAAGACACAGAATTAACGCATTTAGACGTTTTTATGCTATTGTGAAACGTTAACATCGAGGGTTTTGTTCTTACCGAGAGCGGCTCCTCTGCCTCCCTGTCCTCCAGCCTCGGCACCTCCAGCCTGTCAATAAAAGCTTGCAGTTCCTTCCGGAAAGCCTTCATCTGGGCGTTGATGCGGTACAGCAGCTCGTGTTCTCTGATCCTACTCCCATCACCCTCCCCGCCTTCCTCTCCTCCCCTCCCAAACATCAAGTCGCCATTAGAAACGTAGACCCTGGCCTCTGAGATGATGGTGGCCGTGTCGGCGATCAGGCGGTCGATGGTTCGCACCAGCCTCTCTGCTTCCGCGCGGATGTCAACCATTTGCTGCCTGTCGCGCAGGCTGCAGCGTCCGCCGGGCAAGAAGCGAGCCAGAGCTGAAGAGGCAGAGCCCTCGGGCCCGGTGGGGGTGTAGAGGCCCCGTGTGGGCGTCATGCATCGGCTGCTTCCGTTGTTGTTCCTCACCTCGTCCGAGTCGCTTTCCCCTCCCACGGGGCCCTCGCGTTTGCGGTGAGGCGGGATCAGGCGGGAGGAGGTGGAGTCCTCGTCGCTCTCACGTCGACCGCTCGTGGCGCCTCCGGCATCGCTCTCTGCGTCGCTGTCCCGCGGGCTAGGTCGCAGAGAGAGATGGGTGGCCAGATCATAGCGCTGCATGTTGGAGAGGAGGACACGGTTCTCGTACTGCAGCTGCATTACCTGGTCAGAAAAGACGGAGGCAACGTTGAGGTAATACCATATATGACCAGTAGGTGGCAGTATATGGAGACACTAGACACATATGGTGGCTTATGTGCAAATATACCATCAACACCTACAACCACGTAACAGCTTTTGAACATTTCTCAAATGACGCACTCGTTAGATGAACATGTAAAGGTCATATAACAGCAATAACTCCATTTTCCACACCTTTCCGCTGAGATCATTAATCTGGAGCCTGGCAGCTTTCAACTCCTCCTGCAGACCTTCGTTTTTGACTCCATCCATCGCTGCAGCTCCCCCACCGTGCCTGGCCCCGCCCTCGTGGGTACCGGCCTTGAAGCGCAGTTTGTTCAGCTCCGTCGTCACCTTCTTGTTTTGGTCCTCAGCGTCGGCCAGGTTTCTCCTCAGGAGCTCTGCCTCATCCTCCACCAGCTGCAGCTGCTGCCGGAGCTCCGTTAGGTCGTCCCCCAGGCCTCGCCCCGCGCCCGACCCACTCGTGGCACCACACCCGGAGTTTCCAGCACCCTCCCCTTCACCTCGTAGGTCGTCCAGCTCGGCTCTCAGCCCACGATTCTCCACCTGTTTGAAGATACAGCAAGAAAGGTAAAACTCACATAAACTTCCTGTCTAGAGTCCTTTCAATGCCTGCTCTCACCTCAAGCTCAACTATCTTCCTCCCAAGAATGTTTGCCTCCTCTTCCACCAGTCGAAGGCGCAGCTTCAGTTCTGACTCGCGGGTAGTGGGTGGCCCCCCGGCCTCCCCTTTAGGATGAGTGCTGTCTAGTTCTCCGTAGAAGGACCGATACTTCTGCAACTCCTGCTCCAGACGGTCCTTCTCCTTGTCGATCTTGGCCGTCTTCTTCCTCATGAGGACAGCCTCCTCCTTGATGAGCGCTAGCTGGCACTTCAGGTCTTCGTTCTCCTCCTGGAACACAGCGAGGACGTTCACTTCAGTCGAAAAACGCAGAAGTTAGTCCTGTCGTTTAAACGCCAGTTTCTGGGATGAGACCGCTTGATGCAAAGGCTTAAGATTAGCCCGAAGACTTAGATGGTGCATAGGGATCATGGACGTAATTTTCACTTTAGAAGTGGGGGGGACACAGGGTGGGAGTGGGGGGGGGGGGGGGGGGGGCATATCTTTACAGTATGCTCTAATGGGAACAGGCTTCAACACAAACGGTTGTTTTCTGCTTGGTCCTAGAGCTCAACCAGTGTCAATTTAATATAGCGTAATATTGTTTTTGGAAAAAGTGGGGGGGACATGTCCCCCCATCCCCCCCAAAAAAATTACGTCCATGATAGGGATGGAAGAAATTCTTGAAAATGGACCCAAATGATCCACCTGAGAACTACTTTTAAACGTTTTTGTAACTTACTAAGGATCCCTCCTCACCTCAGTAGCAGTCTGCGCTGGCTTCTTGTCCGTCTTCTGGATGTCTTTGCTTCCTCTTCTTTTTTGAGACTGAGAATTAAAAAAAATAAACAGTTTATTTTAAGCTTATTGCTTTTTTGTACAGATTTATTCAATTTTTCTTTTTTTTTTTTGTCCCACTTAAACTCTTCAGATAAGAAAATATTATTTGAAAACTGCATTTTGTTATTTCTCTGGTTGTTTTTGACATTTAGATTCTGAAGAATTGTTTCCGATGCTTCCAGGAGCAGTGTGTGTGTGTGTGTGTGTGTGTGTGTGTGTGTTACCTCTTTGGTTTTTTCTAACTCATTCTGCAGAGCTTGTTTGGTCACTTCCACCTCTATGAGTTTCTGTCGCAGTTTTTCGTTCTCCTCTTCGGTTTTTGTGCGCTTTTCTTCCACTTTCTCCAGCTCGTGGTGCAGCCTCACAGACACATCCTTTGCCACCTGCAACACATAAATGTAAATCTTAACAAAAACAACAAAAAAGAAGTGAAGATTTGTTTCCATGCTTCCATCCTCTCCCGCCTGTACCTTCAGGTCCTGTTCAAGACTCCTGAGCAACTCTTCATCAATTTCTCCCGTCTGGGCGTAACGCAGCCTCTTCCTCTCCGCCTTGCGCAGTCGATACTGCAGGATCCGGCAGTTTTTATTGGCTCGCTCCAGCTCACGCCTCATCTCCTGCAGCTGACAGGTGTCTTCCTCGTAGAAAGTGTCTCGCATCTCCTCCATCTCGGTCCTCATCTCTTCGATTTCACACTAGTTGGATCGTAGTAAACAGTCTCAGTCATGGGTGTGATTTAGTGTAAAACTGCAAAGTTCTTTCAAATATCTCCAACTAATTTTAACGTTTGATCTATTTGGTGACTTAATGATTGATCCAGTGGATCAATTACAGACTGATCAATAACCAGCTTATCATCATTGTTTACAGGCGTTGTTCTGAAGCGACATAGAGGATGCTCTACAGACAAATCAGTTCACGTTTGCTTGCTCGTCTCTGAGTTATGGCTGCAGACATCAGAAAACAGGGCATAGACCAGCAAGTTTCAAATTTAAAGGCATTTATATGGTAAATAAAACAGGCTGGACTTTATTTTGAATAATTCCTAGCTGGTGATGTATAGTTATGTAAATATAAACCTTGAGCTCATCATTCTCCTCCAGCAGCCTCTCTATCTCCTCCTCCAGGGCCTGGTCCTGCTGTGTCACGGACGCCGCCTCCGCAGCTTCCTCTGCCGGGTCTGGTCCTCTCCGAGCGGCCCGCGCATCCATCACGTTTTCCATCTGCATCGTCGCACCGCTCCTCTTCACGTCTTTTCAGCAGGTGAAAGCGGATCACCTCAGTCTGTAAGCATCCTTCAAAAAAACCCAACCCGAGGCCCGCTCCGTGCAGCACACGGGCGCGGCGCGTCTTCCACAAAGCTCCTCCTCCTCCTCCTTCCTCGCTTGCCTGCTCTCCAAGGCAGCAAACGCTAGTCGGAGTTACCTTTACAGTAGCAAAAACCCGGTGCTGATAGGTCTACTGGGACAGCATCCGCCCTGTTCGATGTGATGAGCTCAGCTTCAGCACCACCTGGGAGAACAGCTGCGCCGCCACGCCTCTCGGGCTCCCCCTCTCTCACGGCAGCCTCACCCCGATGCTTCTGCTTCCTTCTACCCAGAAAGGAGAGCACAATCGGCCAGAGAGCGTGGAGGCCTGTTCGGTAGCTTCTTCCTGGTCTGTAGCCGGAGAGGGAGCCCGGTGCCACCTCCTCCGCCTCCCTATCTCTGATCGGTTGTTGATTACGGCTCAGCAGCGCCCCCGGCGGCCGGACTCAAGTTTACACCACTGACAAAAACTTCAAATCTGGACTGTTTCCTAACCGTTTTTGCCTAAAAATGATCAGTTCGGGGGAAAAAATATTTTACTTGACTTCTTGGCACATTTGACTCACAAAAAGGGATGGAGATTTCGCATGCCATAGACACTAGCCGCTAGATGTCACTATTTTCTTTTCCCGGCAACTCGCTCACACTGTGTACAGTGGGGATGGGGAGCTGCTGACGTCAACTGGGGCTATAGTCGGACGGTGGAAGGAATACTTTGACGAGCTCCTCAATCCCATCTATGCGCATTCCGAGGAGGAACCAGAGCCGGGGATGGACTGTCCAATCTCGGGGGCAGAAGTTGCTGAGGTAGTCAAACAACTACACAGCGGCGGAGCCCCCGGGGCGGATGAGGTTCGTCCTGGGTATCACGAGGCTATGGATGTTGTAGGGCTGCCGTTGTTGACACGTCTCTGCAACATTGCGTGGTCATCGGGGGCAGATGCTGTAAAGTGGCAGAACGGGGTGGTGGTCCCCATCTTTAAGAAGGGTGACCTGAGGGTGTGTTCCAACTATAGGGGGATCACACTCCTCAGCATCCCTGGAAATATCCACTCCAAGGTACTGGAGAGGAGGGTCCGATCGATAGTTGAATCTCAGATTGAGGAGGAGCAATGTGGTTTTCGTCCTGGCCGTGGAACTGTGGACCAGCTCTATACCCTTGCAAGGGTGATGGAGGGGGCACAGGAGTTTGCCCAACCAATCCGCATGTGTTTTGTGGATTTGGAGAAGGCTTATGACCGTGTCCCCAGGGGCACCCTGTGGGGGACGCTCCAGGAGTATGGGGTGGGTGGCTTTCTGTTAAGGGCCGTTCAGTCCCTTTACCAGAGGAGCGTGAGTTTGGTCCGCATAGCCGGTAGTAAGTCGGACCTGTTCCCGGTGAGGGTTGGACTCCGCCAGGGCTGCCCTTTGTCACCGGTTCTGTTCATTACCTTTATGGACAGAATTTCTAGGCGCAGCCTTGGTGTGAACCCCGGAGCTCCTGGATGCAGCACAGGAACAACAGAACAAAAAGTCAGAAACAACATTTATATAAACATTAAAGTCCTTATCTGGAAGGTTGAATGGAAGATGTGTGAAACAAGCTTTCGGGTCACCTGAGTCCCAATCCAGTAGGACTTCTATAGCCTTGATGTCTCCGTGAAAGACTTCCTTTGACTCCATGTCTGTGACTGACTTTATCAGCTGGTTCAGGATCATCATGAAACTCTGTTTTTACTTGTTTCACTTAGTTTGGACTCACTCCTTTAATTGTAGTCAATGGGAGCCAGGGGCGCCGTAAAGGGGGGGAAAGGTTAGGACGAGTCTAAGGGCCCAAGGCTGCCAGGGGGCCCAAAAAAGTTTCAAACTTTAATTTAAAAACATATTTTTTTTAAACCATAAGTGCTTTACTTTGCAGTATTTTTTCTAATTGAAGACATTAAACAAACAATCTTTTTGTCTCAATCAAATGTAAATGAATTCAGAGGTTTCTATTTTGACAAGTTCATTTGAACATCGAAATAAGCAAGAATGCTTGTAGACATGCACAATTAAGCAAAACTGAAACACTAATATGAAGTATATGTATATATATATATATATATATATATATATATATATAGATATATAGATATATAGATATAGATATTTATATATATAATCTTCTTTTTTCCTATTTTTTTCTCTCCCTTTGCATCTGGGAAGGCGGAGCCACAGCGCCCCTTATGGAGGAGCCGCCAGGGGGCCCAACTTGATATTTTTTCATGGGGCCCAACATATCTAGCAGCCCCCCTGATGGGAGCCATTTCATTGCTTGTGTCCCTCTAAATCTTCTCTGTCCCAATCAGTCGATCTGACTTGTGGCACTCATAAAGATCTAGGAAGTGGACAGGTCTGCCTACGATGAGCATCAGCTCCTCATCTAAGATGCACCGTTCCCTGGAAGTGGAATACCTGCTGACGTTAGCGTCAGGATAACACCCAGGACAGCCTTGCCCATGTTCCCGTTGCACATCCACAGAACGGAAATACGCTTGCAATGCTAGCTGGCTCCGGCGTAGAGGTTGGCTTCTTTGAGGATTTTTGTCATGAATGTTTTCCAAGCAATGCACACTAACCACTCTTGACTGTGATTTTTGTAATAAAAGTGTTCATTTATTTTAATTTGAGCTATCACTGGGATTTGATCTGGTGTTTTAAATCAGCATAATAGGCATGATTTATGTTTTAATTCGCATTTAAGTTGTTTTTTATAAGGTCTTTTTGCTAGTCAAGCCCTGTTACACCACTATAGGGTCTGGGTTGTGCAAGCTTTCCCGTCGCCTTTGCTTCTATAAATATTTAAGTTTGCGTAGAAAGGTACTTTACATCAATCCTCATACCAAGCAAGCATAAAGCGACAGTGGAGAGGAAAACTCCCTTTTAACAGGAAGAAACCTCCAGAGAATCCTGGCTCAGTATAAGCAGCCATCCTCCACGACTCCCTGGGGATCGAGAAGACAGAGCAGGCACACACACCTTATATAGGAAACATTATTTCTGATTGGCTTAATGAACTGACCTGAATTGGAATGTTTATTATGTGAAGTGCCTTGAGACGACTCTCGTCGTGATTTGGCGCTTTATAAATAAACTTGAATTGAAATTGAATTGACATGTGCAGCTTTCAGATCCTGTTTTGTGCCTAAGCGAGCTTTATAAATGAGCCCCCAGAGCTGCGGCAGCCACTGTGTTGACTTCTGTTTCGTATTTTATCTCTTGGGATCCACACAGAATGGAATTTTCGTCCAGCAGGGGGCGCTCTCTGCGAATAAAACCTCAGCGAATGCCCCTGGAGTTAAGCTGCTCCTCAAGCTGGAAGCTCAGTAAAACGCTGACTGTTTCCACTCGGTTAGTCATTTAACAGCTAATGAGATGAGTGAGTGACGGGTCAGGCTTGTGGAGGTTTATCCTCTGCAGACTGGCTCTTCACCCTGTTGCATATTTTGGTCTGCAGACTGTCAGCAAACTCAACGCTTTACGCCTCATTGGAGCTGGCCACATCACTGAGGATGAGTGGAAAGCAGCATGCTTATCAGATCTTTGAGTTTACATGAATGCTGATAAGTTAACGAATCGATCTCAGATTTTCACACTAGACGCCTGTTTTCTGAAGGGTTCTGGTTATTCCCAGAGCAGCAGGCGGGGGGAGGCAGGTTATTGCGACCGACCTGTGCTAAAAGCATTGACCCTTCTGCAATCCTCTTATTCCTTGGCTTAGATTCTTCTGCGTCCTCAAAGAGGACAAACGGGCTTCCTCACACTAGTGTCATTCACATCTACACCCCTGGGACTCCCTCTGCCCTTATTCTGGAGAGATGGTTGGAGAGACAGTGTTGCTGAGTACGATAAGAAGTGTCAAAAGATCTGGGTTTAACAGATTTAATAACTACAGATATGTTTTGTTACGTCTAACTGAATAAATATTCGATCCTGACAGGAAACTAGAACAGATGGAAATTTGTTTAAAAAACACACGTTTCAGACGAGGCTCGGGAGATCTGAATATCACACACATGAAATCAAAGCACATTAAATGCCACTGATGTCTTGTTAGAACCTGGGGTTAGACAGGTGCACACTGCTTGCAGATTAGCGGTGGCTTCTCTGACAGTGACCTGCTTTCCTGGGTAACTCCTGGAGTGACGCGGGAATAAGCTCTTTTCAAGCTAAAGCCAATTTGTGCTCAAAGATTAGGGGAGATCTGCCTGAACAGGCTGAAGACACAGCCTTCCTCCAGCTCTCTGCACACACAGTCCTGCAGATCCAGGAACGAAAGAAAGAAAGAAAGAAGGAAAGAAAGAAAGAAAGAAAGAAAGAAAGAACAGGGTATCTGCAGGTCCTTAAAAAGTCTTAAATTTGCTTTTCCAAATTTAAGGCCTTAAAAACCCTTAAAAATGACTAATAATCCTTGAATAGTTTCCAAAGGTCTTAAATTACCAAAGACCCAATAAACAAGATTCTTGTATTTCTATAAAATTTTTGTGAATTTCTAGTTAGTTCAGTATTTTTTCTGTACGATATTGGCGTAAGCGGAACCGTACACATTCGGTTGGTTGTGAAAGGGGACTATTTTTAGATGAGCATGCTAGTGGGAGCTTGCGCCATGGGGAAGTGCAACATTAATGGTAACTGGATGGCTAATCCCACGTTCACGACGTGGTTAGCACCGGTTCCAGGCAATAGCTGGAAATTATAGCTTAAATTTAATTTAAAAAAATAGCTTAAATTTGGTCAAAGTGGCCTTAAAAAAGGTCTTAAAAAGTCTTAAATTTGGCTCCCTTAAACCTGCAGATACCCTGAAGAAAGAAAGAAAGAAAGAAAGAAAGAAAGAGTCACAAAATGAGAGGAATGTGGCAACGTTCCTTTGGGATGAAGTTTGGAATGAGTTGCAGATTGAGGGTAGCGTTGATGTAGCTGGCTACAAAAATTATTTGAATTATAAGTGCAGCTAGGAAATAGTGTTTTTTTTAATGAGACCATAAAAATCAGCTACTCAAGTGTCAGAAATCGTCATTATGAGTTTTTAAAGCAATCAGAATGAGATAAAATACCTTTGAAAGTTGAGTTTATGAACATTAAGGTCATCATCACACTTTTAAAGTTATTACTGTGAAATTTGCAAAGACCTATGGTTGCAAATTACACATTTGAAAGCCATAAAAGGCATAACACTGACTTTAACACCCACAAAAGGACTTTTTGCTTATAATTCTGACTTTAAATCCCATTTGTGACGAGCCATGTGGTAATATTATTCCAGAGAGAAAAATTAGCTTCCAAAAAATGACCTCCAAGAATAAAGCTGTTTATTTGTTTGTAAGAGGCAGTGAGATAAGCTCGGGTTTGTTTTCCGTTTTTGATTCTTGCACTTTAGCTAAAAAAGAGGTAACTTCCACAAAAATATGTTTTTACAACGATAAACACATTTGTGAATATTAAATGGGGAAATGGGTTTGAAATGATGTTTTTAGGTTACAGTGAACACAGAGATGATAGCTTGTTATTCTGTTAATGCAGCAACAGTTGAAAGCAGCAAAGAAACGCACAATCCACGACATGTTTGATTGTCAGAGGCTGCAAGCGACTGCAAACAAGTTAAATACAGCAAATGGCAAGTGTGAAAATTCTGAATTATAGCCATTTTAACTAATCTAAGAGTCTGTAAACAAAAAAAACCCTCTGCATACCTCCAAACATCACTGTTTCCCTGTTTGAAACTTTAAATATCACTGTTAAATAAACTAGCATGTTTAAGACTATTCAAGCTCTCAGATAAATCAGCATTGGAGTCCCAATTGCAAAAGTTGGAGGTGAATTTTGGTGATAAATGCAGAGCGGGTTTCTTGTCCTTTAACATTTTGGTCCTAACAGAATCCAACACACAGCTGGACAGGAGAGCACAGAGCCTACGTAATCAGCATTTAACTTGTCTTCATTTAAAGTAAAAACGTGTCATGGAAACAACACAACTCTCTTCCATTTAAAACCAAAACTCATGACAGACACACCCACAAACACACACAGCTACATCCCACGTTGGTCCCAAATCACATCCATCTACGTTAGAGGTGATTCTTCTGGTTAGAACTCTGTTCAGGCCTCCCCTCCTGCCCTCCTTTCTGTCCCGTCTCTGCCTTTTTGTTTCTCCAGAAGTGCTCTTCTCCCACTTTTACTCCCGCTTTGCTCTGCCCTTCCTTAGCCTCCTTCCGTTCTCCTCCACCTCCTCCATGCTGCTGTGGCCGTTAGTCACAGCCGAAGTGCCGTTTGCCACAGGCTTGCCTCCTTTGTGGGAGGCAGGTTTGCGTCTGTAGGCGTGATAGTAGAAGTTGGCGAAAAGGATGATGAATGTGACAGCATAGCCAATCAGAGCCCACTGCATCCAGCAGGGAAACGGACAGCCGGTGTAGAGGGAGTAGCCGGCGTGGCCGATGGTTACGTGGAACTGGATCTGTTGGACATTTACAAATGAACACAAAAATTTAAATTATTCCAACATGAAATATAAATCCATGTAGCATGTTAATGTTATTATTAATATTATTATTATTAATACTTATTTTTATTATATTTATGAAGCCAATTACAGCCAGCCTACAATGATATATTTACAGTGTAAAGTTATTTAGGTCAACAGTTTTCAGCTGCAACAAAATATAGATAAAAAAAACTTTATGGGTTCAGTAATAATGTACTTGTACTGTTTTGGCACATTTGCAACAATTTTATATGAGATGTGCGAAGTCTTTATATCTCTGTTTGTACTGAAAGTGTAAACTAAGCGGTTATAACTGAAGCTAGGTGCAACAGCTAATGTAAGATACTGAAAAATGAAAGATTTACGTGACAAAAACGCTGCTCAAATTGATGTTATCAAAAGATCTTTAGCCTAGAATCTAAACCATCAGCTTGCCGAAGTAAAAGGATGGTCTAGTCGTGCTCCATTGGAACCTCCACAGCCCCGGACAGTCTGGTACCAATCCAATCACAGCGCTCCATCACTTTGGTGGACCAATCACAGATCTCTATTGGTTTGGTGGGCCAGTCACCAATCTCTATTGGTTTGGTGGGCCAGTCACAGATCTCTATTGGTTTGGTGGGCCAGTCACAGATCTCTATTGGTTTGGTGGGCCAGTCACAGAACTCTATTGGTTTGGTGGGCCAATCACAGATCTCTATTGGTTTGGTGGACCAATCACAGATCTCTATTGGTTTGGTGGACCAGTCACCAATCTCTATTGGTTTGGTGGATCAGTCACCAATCTCTATTGGTTTGGTGGACCAGTCACAGAACTCTATTGGTTTGGTGGGCCAGTCACCAATCTCTATTGGTTTGGTGGGCCAATCACAGATCTCTATTGGTTTGGTGGACCAATCACAGATCTCTATTGGTTTGGTGGGCCAATCACAGATCTCTATTGGTTTGGTGGACCAATCACAGATCTTTATTGGTTTGGTGGGCCAGTCACCAATCTCTATTGGTTTGGTGGGCCAATCACAGATCTCTATTGGTTTGGTGGACCAGTCACCAATCTCTATTGGTTTGGTGGATCAGTCACCAATCTCTATTGGTTTGGTGGACCAGTCACCAATCTCTATTGGTTTGGTGGACCAATCACAGATCTCTATTGGTTTGGTGGGCCAGTCACCAATCTCTATTGGTTTGGTGGGCCAGTCACAGAACTCTATTGGTTTGGTGGGCCAGTCACCAATCTCTATTGATTTGGTGGGCCAGTCACAGAACTCTATTGGTTTGGTGGGCCAATCACAGATCTCCATTGGTTTGGTGGGCCAATCACAGCACTCATTCAGCCAGGTAGGCAGGATGTTACTGCAATTGAACGAAACTAAGATGGTGACAACTCCGTACCAATCCAATCACAGCGTTCTATTGGTTTGGTAGGCCTATCACAGCACTCTGTTGGTGGGATGTTACTGAAAAAACAAAGATGGCAACGGCTAATTTGAAATGGCTTTGGCATTAACTTTGGACTATTTTGACTCAGGTTTTTCTTTGAGTCCAGAGCAAATAGAGGTACTTAAGTTTATTTATAAAAAGGACGTATTTGCCTCTTTTTTGAAAGAGTATGGCACAATGCCTCACTGACTTACATCCGTATGGCACATTGTTTGTTATGCAATAGCATAAAGAGTTGGAAAAAGAACCATCGAACCCTCCCTACAACTGAGAGCTGTCAATTGATCGTGGCCAGACTATATATTCATTTATAGGATGGCTTGCCAGGCTAAAAGATCTCTGTACCTGTACACTGATTTTTTTATTCAAAATAAAATAGAAAAAATACATTTTCTATTTCTATGTTTCATCTCTAAAGGCATTACCCACCATCTGAATAATAGTGAGGTATTTCTTCCACCAGAGGTACTTCTGCATATGAGGTCCCAGTGCTGCCAGGCCATAGTAGCCGTACATGAGAACGTGGATGGAAGAGTTGATGGTTGCACCAAAAAATGCTGCAGAGAAGGTACAGATGGCCAATTGTGTCATTTCTATGTGTCTACCAAGCTCAGTCAGATGTCAGCAGCTGGAAGTTACATTTGATAACTCACACTGCCCACCGGGGACCCACTTGATGCCAATCCACCAGAGGATGAACATGGTACAGTGGTGGTAGACGTGAAGGAAGCTGACTTGGTTGAACTTCTTCCTCAGTATGAAAAAGACTGTATCCAAGAATTCCACTCCTTTGGAGATGTAGTACCACCAAAGAGCAGAAGCTATCTGGAGATGTGAGAGAGAAAGAGTAAATATCCATACATTTGAATGTTGAACACCTTAATCTTGGGGAGATACCAGAAAAGTGCTACAAACACACTATGCAGACAATGAAGAAGATTCTGTCACAGTCCTGGTACGGTTCGAACCAGAAACATTGGCGATCGTCTGATTCCTGGTAGAGCTTTGCTCTATTCTTCCCTAGTTAGTAGAAACTCACAAAGTGCTCGTTAAACCTGGGCTTTGTGGCAACATCTCGCCTCTAATTGGCTTACAGCAACATGACTCTTCCGCTGCCTTCATTCACCTTTGTTTATTGGGGAAAAATGCAACAATGAGTGCCTTGTGATTTTTATCTTGAGAGGCGCTATAGAAATGATATTTTCTTCTTCTTCTTCTTTAGCTCCACAAATAACAAAAGCTCAAATGTCGTAGAGCTGCTAATGCTAGCGGTAAGCCTCGACTAGCCAAGACTTACTCTACTCCCCCCTTGCAGCAACGTCAACGCAGCCCTCCACGGTCACAAACAAAGGTGGGCGCGGCAGTAGACACTTACATAGATTTTTCTGACCCGATAGTTTTCCTTTCTATTTACTTTCTGTGGCTAAGGCAAGCAACGGGGGTTGAATATTATGTTCACTTTCTGCATATGTATGCAATTCAGATCGATTTGCATCGTATTTCAGAAAGAGTAAGTGTTACACAGCTTAACATAACATGAGCAAGAGGAGATAAAGTTAGGCTCTCATCGTGTCTTTGTTCCTCTCCTTCTACAATACACAACAGAATTAATGGTCTTCTTAACTCATTCACTGCCAATGACGACTAAAGTTGTCATTTGCATTGTTTTAACTGTGTGGGCGTCGGACGAGCCCCCACACTGTGAGAACAAACATCTCAGCTCTGAAGCCAATCTTCATCCGCGTACATCACACGTCACATGATCAGGAAGCAGAAAATCCATGTGTTAGGAGATCGTTTTGGGTCGCTGCTGTAAAAAAAGTGAGGCTTGAACCGGAAAAGCTTCTGCCGATTACAATTCAACAACGGATTACGAAAGAATGGATAACGCTCAAAATGCGCTGATTCTTCCTGATGTAAGAGGTGAGTCTCCTCTTTGTTTTGGTTGTTTTCGTGTCGACATCATCCTAACACACAACGTTTTGTGACTCTTAAAAAACAGTAAAAACGGTGAGAAACGCTGGCAGCGGATGAGTTAATGTCAGCCACGAGATTACAGCATCACTCCACTGAGTAGACACGGTTGAGTCCCGCTTCTGGGCCAGAGATTAGTCAAGGTTTAAACATCCATTTAATGAATTAGTAGTTTTCTCAAGACACAGCTGACACTGCCTTGACGAGAGATGTGAAAGAAAGCTCACCCTGACTTCATTGACATCATTTGAGTAGTTGACGGGCTGACAAAGATAGCTGTACCCAGCAGCTCTTGATGCTAACAGGAGCTGATAGAAGAGAGAGAAACAGCAAAGTGAGATCAAGACTGAGAAGAAACTTTTTTGTTGTTTCTAATTTAAAAAGATCAAAACATGCAGTCTAAAAACATTTTAAGAAGTTATTTGGATTTGTTTATGGGAATATATTAATCAGTTCAGCACCCCACCTCTTTGGCGATGTAGAAGTTGAGGACCACCATACTGAAGTTGTAGACTATGAGGGTCTTTCTGAGAGTGTAGGGATGACGGTCCTGCATGTATCTAGGCCCCGCCCACAGGAAGATCAAGTACAGGCAGCTGATGGCCAGGGTGGGTAAGGCGGATGACATCATCGGCCAGTTCTCCACCCTCTTGTCTGGAAACAATCAATGGTTGATGTGAGGGTGGATGGTGAAACGAGGATAAGGGACAAAAGTAGAAAGCGATTTTGTTCCGCTTGATGCTTTTCATTATTTTTACAGACAATTTTAAAAAAGAGATTTGGTACCTCTTCAGCACTGGTGTAAATCATTGTATAATTTTTCCAATCCAATCCAATGTTATTTATAAAGCGCATTCAACAAGGCATTACAACCAAACAAGGCACTGTACACTAAAAATGTAAGTTAATTAAACCGGCGTTATACAGTCATGTAGAACAGAGATAAAAGATAAAAAGGAAATGCAACAAAATTCCCAAAACTAACAGCTAAAAATCAATAAAACACAGGGAGAATGAAAAATTTGAAAAACATTTTAAAAAAAGTATAACAGCTTTATAAAAGTATAGCTGTATTTTGGTTTGTATATACCTGACTTATACTTTATAAAAGTATAGCTTTTATTAGTATAACAAAGATAAATAATAATAGCTATTATTAATTTAATTCAAACCAGTAAAGAAAGAGGCCATGCTGCCGTGAGTGAGCTCAGCTTACCTGCTATAGTAAGGCTCCATTTGTAAAACTCTACAGTGTCATTCACAAGATGCATTACAACCTCCATGTTTGGTCTTGATTAGACTATAGTGAGGAGAAACAGAGTGAGACACACAAATCATACCATTGTTATGCATGCTAGTATGAGTGCATGTAACTGCTTTGAAATTGTATATAATGTTTGTTTTATCCTGGCTAAGGTAGGGATTGCATGATATTAAAAGATTCCCTCATGGCATCTTTGCAATTCACACTTATCACTATTACTGTCCAATCACTCCAAAAAAGATCAATTTGGTGAAACTTTCAGATAAAAGGTGCTTTATTACGAGGAAAATGATCATAAACGTGAATATTTAGGTCAAGATTTTAAGTGAACTACAGGCAGTACGTTGAGTCTATTTTGGTGTTCAGTGGTGACTGAAATTCAGGATTTGTGACTTAGAAGAAATACAGACACATGTAATACTGAATGGGCCTATTTAGACAATTGTTAGAAGCTTGTATACAACTGCTAACTAAAATGCTATGGGAGCCTGGATGCTCAGGCAGGACGTCAGTCCATATGGGGTTTCAAACACTCGGGAATTGGACTGTATTGGAAAAGTGTACCACAGAGACTCAGCATAGGGTTCAAAAATGAAAATAATGCACAAAGATTTTTGATGCCAGTGTGTTTTGCCTTCATTCTGCCATTTATTTTTGTGCTGTCTTTTAAAATGCATGAGTGGAAGTGGAAGAAACGATAAAATAAGAGCACATTTTTTAGAGGATTGTGATTCTTATAGTTGAAATAAACACAAATTAAATTATTTGCACAGTCGTATACCTTATTGCACCAAATGAATAAAATAGGCAAAGAAAATATCTTTTTGCAGTTTTTTGGGTGTGCTCTCCATAAAAGGTTAGCAAAGCAAAAATAGACAGACACCAGTTGCAATGTGTAACTTAAAGTGTTATGCTTCTGCAGCTGCAGGAGGCAAACTGAATGCAGGACTAAACTCTAACATTGTCCACTTCCCTGACATTAATTAGGCTGCATTATACAACAAACAGCTCTTATCTACCACAGAGCTGTGAGCTATTGTCTCCATAATAATCTATTATTAATCCACTAAGTCAGATCAGCTGCCCTTTAAATATTTAATTGCTCATCATGCAGTAACAACATGTCGGTGATGATGAGGAAGAGATGAATTCTCTATGTTGCTCATGGTTGTGTAAATAAATGTTCAGGACCTCTGCAGGACCTTAAATGACAGCATATATCAGATCTGAGTTGGGTTAGCAGAGGAGGAGCAGATAAGAGGGGGTTAACCAGGTCTGTCTGGGAACAAAAAGACTGGGGCACATGTGTCAGCAGGTTTCACTTGGTCTGCTCAAGAGGCTTAAATTCAATTGATCAACGAGCTTAGACTGTAGGCCTAAGAACAAATGCCCCAGCTTGTTCTTTGCATTCCTGTCTGCATCTGCTAGAATAAAAAACACAATTTACTTTATTACAAATTTGAGATAGAAGAGCAAGGGCAGTCTAATTCACAGAGCAAATTTACTGTAATTTTCTCACTAATATAGCGAGCAAATATTTTCATTGGATTTCTAAAGTGTTGAGAGTAAATTTGACTTGTCATCTCTCAATATTATGTGTACCTGCTTTATTCTAGGGAGACCTGTTAATTTTTAAGGAGACAAACACATTTTTCCTTTAGGATTAACAGGTGGGTAGTCGAATAAAAGAAAGAAATAAGATTACAAACTATATAAATGTGATTAAAATATCGCTTTTGACACAACTGATGAGAATAAAAGTGATTATTAATGCAAATTATTACCGGAAAATTGGAGATTTATGCAGATTTATAACCAAAATTACAAATAAACAATCAGCAAGCATAAAACTAAACAGAAATAATCGAAAATCTGAGCCTTCACTTACGTCTTTGATATTTAAAAACGTATAATGACATCCGGTGCAATTTGATGCTCAGCTCCGTCCACTTCGCCCGTTTTTCTCCTTATATTTTCTCTGCTAATCAGTTTCCGCGTGGCTCCAATTTACATTTCCGCATTAAACAGCAATTTTGGCAAGAAACTAGACAAGGCAAAGTGGAAATCTACGGCTAACACTGGCCCGTCGTTCATGAGGTCCGCGCCGGCCGCTCAGCCGCATCCTCCACCGACTATCTCCTGGCCACCGAGGGGAAGGACGCCACTGCGCATGCGGAGAAGCGATCTGTCTCGTGCGACAGCTGTTCAGCTCGTGGCTCTCTGGGGCAATTAGCTTCTGTGCTGAACCAGTGTGAAGATAATCCACCAATTTCTACTTTAAATTTGCTCTAAATTCTTAGTTTCGTTTTACAAACATGGACGGTCTGAAGAAAATAAGGGACGAGAGCTAATGCCCCCCCCCCCCCCCCCCCCATTTGTTCCTCAGGAGTTTTCATTTACAGTTTTTAGTAACAGATTGTACAAATTGAAGCATTTACATTAGAAAAATGTTTTCTTTTTGCCCCTTTAAGAAGTTTTACATGTTTTTTTCCCATTTCTTTTGTGGAACATGATCCATATTTAGCTGAGTCTTATTTTATGAGTGGGAGCACTGATACACTATTACCTGACTACATGCTGGAATAAACCTAGATTTGAAAATAAACATAGCGGCATTTGTCAACAAAGTCAGTTAGAAATGTAACTTTACTTTTAAAAATGTATTTGTAAATAAAGGAACATTGTTTAGGTTGTTTTGTTTAACTGTGTCATTTCCATTTAGGTTTGTCTTGGTGTGTTCATTTTTAGCTTCAGGCAAAAGTTTTACAATGATTGATGTTTCATTTGGAAGAACCTTTGAACTCATTGTTAAACTCAGTATTAAAAATCTGGGTACCGATGTATTTTCCACTGAAAAAAACCTATCCCATCTCTGAATTTTAGCTCCATAAGAGCACCACTGCCTTCATGTTGCCACTAGATGGCAGTGTTTCTTTAACATAAAATACTTACCAATGCACTGCGCTTACATTTTTTCTGGCAAATGAGAAAGGTGGCAATCTCTTTGAAAAAAGTCATCCATAAAACTACTGATTTATTCGAAAAACAAGCATTAAAGCAAATTATTGTAAAAATATAAAGGGATTAGAAAATAGAGAACCAGGACTTTACCTCAGCTTTGAGTATAATGCATTCTTTAGATAAGATAGATAAGTTCAGTCTCCTAACTTTGATTGTCCCAGTGTAGCATCATTGGGAGCTGATGTTCCATCTACAAGGGCCGTTGGGTAGGATGCGTGGTCTACCTTGGACAAAATGCCAGTCCATCACAGGGTCACACAATGTGAAACAAGGAAACTAGAATACTCAGAGTAATCCACCAAACTGGATTATCCCCTCAGAAATTCATGATACATGCAGCCCCATATTTTCTGTGCAAGAGTTTTATTATGCTTTTGTATTAAAGAGGCATAAGTTAGATTATTGGTGGGAGGTGGTGGGACAGGTGGTCTTTTGCCCTGGTGGGGTCACTGGATCTTTTTTTTTAATATTCAGTCTAATGTAAGACAGTAAGAGCTGCTTCTCAGTGTGACAGAACTTTCTTTATCATCACCTGATAAAAAGTCACCAATCTATTTTCATTCGATTTTTCGTCGTGCAACTTGAACTTCCTGTTTTCAAAATCCCACTTCCCTTTCTGTTGCATTCTTGTTTTGTTTTCTCTTTTAAGTTTCTAAGCTGTGTGGTCTACTTCCATGGCTCCCAGAGTGTCAGTCTGTTAATATCACTTCATTTTGTCACTTTTTATGGCATCAATGTGTCATATAACATCTGCTGATGTCCTTCTATTCATTTTCAGCTGCTCATCGGGGGTCGGGTCGCAGGGGCAGTAGCCTAAACAGGGAGGCCCAGACTTCCCACTCCCCAGCTACTTGGGCCAACTCCTCTGGGGGAATCCTAAAGCGTTCCCTGGCGTGTCCCTCCAGCGTTTCATGGGTCTTCCTTTTTTTTTTTTTTTTTTTTTTTACTTTCTTTAGGTCTTCTCCTGGTTGGACATGCCCAGATAACCTCACCAGGGAGGCGTCCAGGAGGCATCCTAACCAGATGACCGAGCCACCTCAACTGGCTCCTCTCGATGTGGAGGAGCAGCAGGTCTACTCCGAGCCCCTCCCGAATGATAGATTGGTTGGGCGAACTCCCATGCACCTTCCAGGACCCTCCTAAAGGTATAGAGCTGGTCCAGTGTTCCACAGCCAGGACGAGAACCGCATTGCTCCTCCTGAATCAGAGGTTCGACTATCTGCCGATGTCATCCCCAGAAGTGCAAACATTTTCCAACCTAGCACATGCCAACCGCCATATTTTTAAGTCCTTAAGTCATCCATTAGAGATGTATTAGTCCATGATTCATGCTGGAACACACTCTCACCAAACAGTGTGCAGGGAAAATGTGCTTCTACAGGGCATGTTTGCAGCCAGCAACCTTAAATAAACCATTTTCCACATACCTCAGTAGCGGCAAGCTGCTTTAAGGAAATACCGTTCTTCAAAAACATTCTCCCTGTAAGGGCACCACCTCTTTCACGTGGGACGCCTGAAATGTGGATGCGAGTCAAAATCTTGCAGCATATTGGATCCGTTTCAATTTATTTTCATACGGGTACTGACAGAGCTGAGTGTGAGAGACATGAACTTTATGACCTCAGGATAAAACACCTAAACAGTGAGCGACTGAATACTCAACTCCTAATGTAAGTTTACAATCTCCAATTAACCCATGCACGTTTTTAGTTTGTGGAGTCATTCTGCAGCATGGACCACTGCAGCTATTCGCCATAAACCATCTATTTCGAGCAGTTTTAACTGGTTCTCCTGCCGCTGCTCCAGTTTTACCACTTGCATCTAATTGCCCCGAGTCTCCTTCAACAGTTTCTGTCTAATCTGGATCGTGTCTGTTCCACTGGAGCTTTTTTTTAAAATATGGTTTTAATTAGAAAAGCATCAGGCAGAGATTTCATTCAATGGCTGATCCTCCTCTGCCTCTAGTGGCTCACTTCCTATGGCATTAGGTCACAGCTTGTGCCATTTTAGTGAATAACAGTTTTTTTTTACCACTTCTCATAAAAATAAGAACTAAGCAGCACTTATTGACCAAGTAGTCAATGCACACACACACACATACACACTTTTATCCGTGAGTGGCCTCTGTGTAAAAGGAACCCCTCCCCCATTCACTGTGGCCACGAGTGCGCAGGCTCTGACAGAAAGTACCTCATAAGATGACTGAGCTCCAGGTTAACACTTCAGATCTCACTGGTTGCTCACTCAGTGTTGAAGTATATTTCCCCACCCTAAACCTGCCAGTTGTTGTTTTGCATTTGCGTCTTACTGAAAGAGACAATGTGTATTTTTACTGTTAATCTCTTGAAATATCAAAGTCAAAGTCAAAGTCCCATTAGTTGTCACACTCACAGGTGTGTGTGCGAAATTTGTTCTCCGCATTTGACCCATCCCCTGGGGGAGTGGTGAGCTGCAGACACGGCCGCGCTCGGGAACCATTTGGTGGTTTAACCCCCCAATCCAACCCCTTAATGCTGAGTGTCAAGCAGGGAGGCATTGGGTCCCATTTTTTCAAAGTCTTTGGTATGACCCAACCAGGAATCGAATCCCTGATCTCCCGGTCTCAGGGCGGACACTCTACCACTAGGCCACTGAAAAAGGTCCATCAAAACGATGTTGAAAATGAATAAAATGATGTCCATTTAACCATTAAAAATTGGATCTAAAGCACATAGGGCGCGGTTCTATTGTCTTTGGGGGACGCCATATTAGATGACATTTCCTTCTGGCCAGCTGGGGGTCCTACGTCTGTCGATGATGTCACGCTAGATGATTGGCTGGATGTACGACTTACGGAAGTTATGTTGCAACGTTCAAAAACATTTAGGCAGTAAGAAACACAAATTTAGTTTAGAAAAACCCGCTTAAGTCATTCCAAAATCTATGTGTAAGAACAGAATCAAAAAAGTGATGCAATATATTTTGGCCGAGTGGTGTTGCCGTAGTATGATCATGTCATCGGCAGGCATCAGGACCCCACGCAGATCTGGAAACTGCAGCACCAGAAAACTAGCATCAGCATTGCATTCTCTCCACGGAATTAACTGAAGGACCATCAATGACTACGTTTACATGCAGCCAATATCCGGGTTATGATCGGGTTAAGGTCGGTATTCGAGTTTCTGAGTTGATCAGAATAACCCGTTTACAAGCATAAATAGAAAGAGTTACCCCTAACTTGCATAACCTGATTTAAATGCGGACGTTGGGGTAGCGTCAGGACGTATGGACTACGTCCAGACGCAATATGCCTCATTTCCGGTTCTTCTTGTTCCGGTATCCGTGAAAACAACAACATGTTTCCCAGTTCGGAAGAGATAGCGACCGCGTTTGTTTACGCTTTAGTTTCTTCCTCACTCCAAAAGTGTGGTGCTGTGCCGCGACTCGCCATGTTGCTCCCAACTTGTTGTTTACTTCCGGTGTTCTGGCGCATACAAGACGTCTCGCTACTCAAAAGACCAAGATTCCTTGCGAACAGAGCATGCGCAGAACACACGCTTCGATGGGGATATCCCGATATGCGTTTACACGACCAAACATTCGGGTTAGAAAAGGGTTACCCCAGGTGTAGTAACCGGGTTTTTAAAAACCCGGTTATGAGCATATCCGGGTTTTTGGCGGTGTTTACAAGGACCTGCGGAACCGGGTTATTGTGAATATTCGGGTTTTAAAAGGGTTACTGGCTGCATGTAAACACACTGAAAGTCTGAGAAGTCACGCCGAGGTTGCCTGCTTTCTGCTCCACCGGTAACAGCATTTACCGTAAGGTTTTCTTTAGAACAAGCCACGGTTATGAGGATATGAGCCCTGAAATGTATGTCCTGGCCCTCAGCACCAGGAAACTACACACTGCTACTTTAACTTCTGTTTCTTTTATTTTTGTCTCACATTAATAATAGAAATTTAATTGAAATGAAAAAGCCTTCTTTAAAAGCCTGATAATCATTAATTTAGTCAAACATGAAATCAAAACTATGATTATATTATTAATATAACTGCACGAAATATGACAGAGGTAAAAAAAAGCTGTTCTGATGTGCACACATACACATGTGCACGTATTATCTTTAGTAAAACAGTCCATTTGGCAATCAAAAAAAGC